TTTTTGTTGTTGTTTTTTCCAAAGTTATAACGGAAACGAAAGAGAAATATTTTACTTCACGAGTTCGATGAAACTGCGACGTGCAATGAAAAATGAGAGAAATATTAACATTATATGCAGTGACGCTTAACGCATGTTTTCCAATTATGTTGGAACACTTTAGATAAAGTGTAGAGTTAATGAAAAATAATTAAATATATCGTTGACTTGATCAGTATCAGATATGAAAGTATGCAAAAAAATTATACATATTTTGCATATAGTAAAAATTAAACCTGTACAACTATAACTGCTATTGTATAATTAAAAATAAATAGCTGGACACGTGGCGTGTTCAAAAAAAAAAAAAAAAAAAAAAGGCGTGGAAAAATATTTATTTATTCACCAATATCTATCTATCTATTTAGCCTCCCTCTCCCTTAAATGTAATATATTCGTACCAGCGCGGCCTTGAGTTCTTTTAGCGATGCGATCTCTGTATCTTTATCGTGGTAAAACTGCATCCTTTGATGGGTGTTTTCAATTTTGGGAATAGGAAAAGTCATAGTGGGCCACGGCCAATGAATTAGGGTGGCGGAGGCGTGATTGTTGCATTAAATTATGAATAAGCAATGACATGTGAACTGGCGCACTAGCGTGGGCCAATATCCATGACTGGTTGTTCCAAAATGCCGGGCATTCCATTCGTATTGCTTCACGCGAACGACGCATAACTTCAAGGTAATATACCTTGCTGACCGAACGAGAGTGAGCGATACCTTCATATTCGACTCAACTTGGCATGCTTTTACCGGTCTTGGCTTTTCTGGCAGCATTCACTGGTATGATTGGATTTTGATTTGAACGTCATAACCATCTATTCATGTTTCGTCACCAGTTATAACACTAATGAGAAATTTGGCAGCATCGTTGACGTTATTCAACAACTCTGGAGAGACGGTTCTTTTGGTAAAAATTTAGCAATTTCGGAACAAACTTCGCTGCCGTGGCGAATGTAGCGACATTCGCACCAACTTCTATAATAGACATGCAATGGTTCTCCATAACAATTTTCTTCACTGGTTCAACATTTTTATCGATTGTTGACGTGCTGAGGTGTCCAGTGTCATTATCATCTTCCATCGACCTTCTGTGAATAGCTCGTCCCGTTTGTAAGCTATTTTTGTTTTGTTCAAAGTAGATTCGGCAAATGCCGCAGTCAACGTTCTAAATAAGTTGAAGTGCTTAACTTCTTATTTTTCACACAACTTTTTTGTTTTGTCTTTTTTCGATAGCAGAAAAGTCGCCATTCACAACAAAGCAGGCCTAACCTCTGTACATCTGTCAAGAGAAAAATGCAAAAATGCAAAATAGCTTATAATGTCAACATGTGTTGGGGCCTTGCTCGAAAAATCACCTTTTTTTTTGAACGCACCTCGTACCCATAATATATATTAATACTTATTTTAATAATTGAGGGACGATATCATCTTGTGTTCATTGAAAAATTAGTCTCAGATCTATATAACAAAAAAAAAAAAAAAAAAAAAATGAGAATTCTTTAGTCGAGCAAGCTCAACCCTTAGATACTCTACATTATTTTGTTTAATAAATAATACATCAAATCAATTATACATCATTTTTATGTAAATGTATAATTGTCATGAAAGCACTCATATTTTGGATATAGTCAAAGGTCAACGTGGTCCAAGTTGAAGAAACTTAATTTACTTATCAAAGATTAGATTATTTTTCAGTTGCTTCCGTCCTAGCAAACCACGAATTAGACTTTGTCGCCATAGAAAGCTTTGCTTCCATGAAAGCCCTTATCTATGTTGCGGTTTAAAAAACACATCTATGCGATCTAAATTCGTTATCGTTAGATCGTACGAACAAATTAAAACTTTTCAGCGTAGAAAGTCCTGTTTTTCATTAGAACGCTTATATGAATTGAGATCTAAAAAATTTGACTTAAATAATCTAAACACGGTAGAGTTAATTTTTATGCCAAATTATTATTAAGAACGAATTTGTATCGATAGGAACAGTTATACTTGGCCGATTCTATCGAAAGTATTCACAATATTATTACTAACCGCCTTTTTGTACGAACTCGAAACTAAACAACATTTTCTCTCATTGCATATTAAAATGACACATTTTATGGAGAGTGATCGAAAAAGTGATCCTTTGGAGGCTATTTTCTATAGCGTTTATCTCAAAAATTTGCGACCTATAAGTTGAACATAAAAATACATGCACAGGCGGATAGTTGGATAGACAAGGTTAGATGGATTCAGAAAATGATTTTAAATCGATACATATACAATCGATACATAGGTATATAGAATAAAAAAAATTTAAAAAAAAATAGAATGAATCGAGTCTCTTTTGTACTAATGTCGAGAAAGTTATAAGAAAGAAGACAGTATTTTAAAGTTAAAAATTAAATCATATCACAAAAGAAATATCGTAGGTTCACCTAAAACAAATTAACATTTACATGGGCCGGAAATGTGTCATAAGTTATTATTTCCCGAAAACCTTCATATGTTGTTCGCCAATGCGAATGTATAGCACATAGGTGAGCGGAGAGTGGATTATTTTGATTTCAAACTATAAAATAGTATTGGATGCAATAAAACGAAATATTTACGATATCAGATAATATTTGAAATGTTTATCTTTAATATCCCGCTAAAAATTCGTTTATTAAAGTTGTGTGCAATTTGCATAATTTGCAAGTGATCGCCGTGAATAAAGTTATTTTTTATATTTTTAATTTTTATTATTATTTTTTTTTTTAATAATTGTCTATAATTGATTATAAATATTCTAAACATATAAAAATTATTAATTAAATATATATATATATATATATATATATTTTTTTTTTTAGGAACAATTAGCGGAATTAGAAGCAGCTTTTGCCAAATCACATTATCCTGATATTTACTGCAGAGAAGAATTAGCGCGAACGACAAAACTTAATGAGGCGAGAATACAGGTAAATGAAAACGTATTTTAATATTACATAAGCATTTAGATAATTCACAATTATCTCAAGTCATTCCAAATATTAAGGCGTACATACATAAAATATTATTTCAAGGATATCCTATATATACTTTAAGGCTTGTCTCAGTCGCTTAAAAAATTATGTAACAATTATTTCTCAAAGGAGAAATAAAGTTCGAAGAATATGAATATGGCTGACAGTAAGAAAATTACAACGCCCTCTAATAAGGATACTCCTTGCATGATTTCGAGGCACTTATCAACTTGCCCTATAGTAGAGTAATAAACATTTTATTAAACTTGCAAATTATTCGAAATTTAAAAAAAATTCAACAACAATTAAACTACTACTATAATCAAATAGAATGCACCGTTAAATATTTTACATCAATTCGCTTAGTTATTCATATATAACGATTCTTCAGAATAGATTTTTATATGGGAAGTAAACGGATACCTTTGATATCAGCGGCATTTATCAAAATATTTAAAAAAATTGCGACCACAAGAAAACAAAGCAGATGGACCTACGGACCAACATACTTGGATCATTTCAAAAAGTGATTCTCAATCGAACGGGTACATAAAAAGTATGTCGGTGTCTATCTCAAAGCAGCAGCCGCACAAACTTAATACACCTTTATACCGCCAATGGTGGGGAGTATAAAAAGTGATAGTGCGCATGCAATAGTTTGGCCCAGCTAAGCAAACGATGGAACGTTTTGTGAATAAATTCAAATTAGCTCAGGCACTTCATAATGTCCCCGTATCGTTATAATGCGAAGCAGAGGGGTTAATCGAACCTGAATCTATCGGCTCTTGTCTGACCTTGTTCACCTATATCTCCTGCTTCTCCTAGAGGTTGCCACAATTAACTTGTAATAGCTTACAATATGCGAGAGAGCTAGCCATGCAAGTGAACGATGAAGAGCAACAGAACAGTTAAGGAGAGCTTTTAACTGATGAGATGAAAAAGGAGTTTTATTAATTTTGATCTATTCTTGATATCAAGTTGGATAACTAAACACGCATTACATGAAATAAATTAATATAAAATTTTTTTTTTTTTTATGAATTTCACTTTATTTTTGCGATTAATTTGTTCCTTTTCTCCATTTTCTTTTCACTTTGCTCAACACAATCCCATTAGATATTAAGTTTCTCTTGTTTGTCATAATTCTTGCAAAAATTGAAATTTTGATAACGAAAACACTTTTCAATAAGCAAAACATGTTAGAATAAAGTCAACAACACCTTACGCCGATCGTACATATGCTAATTTCAACGTTGCAATGCACAACGTTCCCAGCGCAAAAAAAGTTTGAAATAAAAAAAACACTTATCCCCGACCAAAGGGAGCTGTGCTTACGCTATTTGAACCTTTGGACAAATGAACTTGCAAATGAACGGCTCTATTAAAGTAAAAAGTGTGCGAAGCCAGTGCCCAAATTGCTTTGCGCGAGGATCCATTGATTGTTATCGAATATGGGCCCAGAATAAAATTATTTATTCGATAATCTCATAACAGTCAAGAGTAACTAGGAGCAGGGGGTCTAGCAGTAAAAAACATCATCTTGGCTGCTGCATGTCAAGTCGCCGCCGGATATCGAGAGTATTAATATGACACTCAAAAGAATTCCGATTTTATTCAGCTCTAGGAATATATTTGATACATGTCGAAGACAGAGTAGTTAAATAAGGCAATCATCTTGCGTCAAAAATATTTAAAATCAAAAAAAAAAAATAAAATTATTTTTTAAATAAAATAAAATTTTTTTTTTTTTTTTCCTGGACACACATTGGTCATGCAATCTGTACGTCTAGTATGCGTGTTTCTATGTTATATATGCGTAAGCAGTCGTCATAGGTCATAATTTCCGTTAAGAGAAGGAACGCAGGCTAACAGTTTGCCTACCTAAGGCAAATCTTCTTAATCAATCTTAGTCCTTTTGAAACATATATGTGAGAATTTTTTTTTTTATTTTTTTTTTATACCATTTATGTCAGTTTCATTAGGAGCACCATGATAGTAATACATATCAAGAGAATTCTTTGTTAATTCGATTGATAAAAATCGTTCATAAAGCGATGCAGTGTTTGAATTAATAATCATTTATAGATTATATTAATACACTTTGAAAAGGAAAAAGAAAAAAAAAAAGAGATTCAAACATTGAATAGAGTGAATAAAATTTCCATGAAAGAAAAAACTCAGAACTACTCAAGTCGCTAAGAATATTTTGGAAGATTTACATTAGTTGCAGCCCATCAATGAAGTGCTTTTTAAGAGACACTTTACAGAACGATATTAAGTGCCGTAAATGAATGTGAATACGAAATGACTTACTGATGCTTCTGCTAGAAAATATTGTTTACTATGTACAGTCATCGAACAGTCATTGTCCAAAATCTGAATAGAATAAAAAAATGGTAATTATTTGTTTTTTTTTTTTTTTTGATCGTTTAATTACCTCATACCGCTATAAGGCAAACGTACGGTGAAGAAAAAAAAAAAAAAAAAAAAAAAATTTGAAAACATTTCTTGATTATCAATGTGGCAGTTCATCGATATGATTATAAGGAACATTTACAGCACACAATAAAGGGGATAACGGGGGGGGAAAAAAATGCATTCAAATTTTGCGCACTTTTTGCCATTCTTCCATTCGTTAATTATCCATCGATTATCCATCCATTCATTACATATATAGAAGTGTATGAAAATATAATCCTCCAGCTAAGCTAGTTGAAATATATATATATATACGTATGTACATGATAGCAAATAGTAAACAATAACAATTTACATAATGTGGTAACTTTTCTAAATAAACCAAATTGGACTTGTTAGCAAAAAAAAACCACATTTTGAAAAATGTGTTAAAGTTGAATATTTGTTAATCAATACGATCAGCACGATTTATACAAATCGTTTGTTCCTCCCCATCGGGGAGATTTGCTCTTTCAATTACCCATCTCTTTCATCATTTGCTTCAGGTGTTGTGTGTTGTGTCATATTGTTAAGGTCATAAGGTTGGACCAATTCTACCAATATGTCCGACTAATAGTTGTAAAGTATGGTTGATTTTCGAAAACGAGGCGTAAAACGGCCGCGCTAAAGTCGCTCTTCCTTCAATCGATTCGAAATTTCTTTCACAAGAGAGAGAGAGAGAGAGAGAGAGAGAGAGAGAGAAAGAGAGAAAGTTCGCCTAGCAATATAACCTTTAAAAGAAAAAAAAAAAAAAAAGCGGAAGCAGCGCTAAACTAACAAAAAGTTGAACACTATTACGGAAGTCCTCCCTCACAATTAATTGCTTTGTCATCCGTCTGCCTTGAGAAAGGCAGGCCTTAGTACTTATTAATATAAATGAACGCATATACGACGCCTTGTAAAAGCGTACGACAATTCCCATTGAACGAGGCCCTATTACTCTTAGACTTTTGAAATAAAGAATAGGTGCGGGCCGTTTTCTCGATTTTTAGTATGCGTCGAGGTCTAACTAACTAATCGCTTGGCTAGTTCCTCACGAAACTTCGGGATAACCATAGCCACCACGACACTTCCCGAAAGATCGTACGCAGCAGTCAGGTAAGGCGGCATTCATCCCGATAGTCAGATTTGGTAGTGCATCTTCGTACCAGGAACAAACCTACTTTTCACACATTAATTTCATGACTTATCGTTCTATTACAGAACTTGCAGCTTTCAGTGATCCCGTACCGTACCCAGCCGTTCCTTTAGACCACGCGACATGTCACAGAAGACCATCCAAATAGTATGCTTTCTCGAGGAAACAATGCTTCCAAAATTGTCATCACACAGTACATATCCAACTATGCTTCAAACCGCTTAAATATCGCTGACCAGTACGGGAGAGAAGAAAAACACTGCCGTTTCATTAGAAAACGTTACCCCTCCTTTCGATACACCAGTCAGGCTTCACAGAGAAGAGCCCCTTGCCAGGTTATAGATAACAAACCTTAATCCTTTCGTTGCCATTGAACTGTGAAACTTTCGACAGTGAGAGCCAAATAAGCACAAAACATACCCCCTGCCGATCTAAACATTGTTACTGACAGGGTTCCAGTATCGTTCTTCGCTATTTAATTTTATAGACGACTAGTTGGAGTAACTATAATAACGTAAATCTGCTTTTCATGATTTTAGGTTTTTTTTTTTTTTTTGCTAATGGTTGTTAATCGTTTCCCGAGTCATTAGCTGCATGAGGCAGATAAAGTGTTATGAGTCCATACCACTCGTATGCATGTATGTTGAGAGTATATAGCTTATCTGACCGTCTGTCCCTACATCCGTCTGATATCTATCTATGCATGACATAATTTTTAATGATTGTAATGAATTTTGGTACATAGACGTGCTTTGACGCAAGAGCGAACGCCATTGAAATAGGTTCGACCGGATCGACCGATATTAGCAGAGTCGTTTTTCCCTCTTTTCAAAAATAGACTAAAATCTGGTGGACCTTAAATAAGCGAGTAGTATCGTTACGATACGAGATACGAGTTAAGCAGTTGTAGATGTATATCAAGCGTATGTTCAGTGGCTCGTTGCGGGAAATATATCAAATCAACAAGTGTGAAGAGGCGAGTCTTAACAGTGTGTTCATCCTAAGTTCTTCTACATTCTGAATTTATTCATTCAAACTTATTATGGCCGTAACATAAATGATGTAGAATACAATGACCCAATTAAGCCATTACTGTACGCATAAAGCACATTAAAGGAAAGGTACGTGATGTACTTAGGAAGTTACAATACTTATACAATATATTGCATAAGCTTGCAGATCAGTAGCATTTTAAATCGAGATTAATGGAAAACGAATTGATCGTAATGCCCCTAATTACTTTTATAAAGAAGCGACGGAGAAGAGACTTTTTGGATCAAATTTTCTCTTTCAGACTTATTACTGCGTGCGGTCGTCGCAGCTCGATTTTATCTATGTCAAAAATTACAATTATATATCT